ACCCTGGCCAAAGTCTCTCCAGAACTGGACACACTACAGGCCAAGCGGTCTGCATCTTCGTTATACTCCCTCGGCAATTGGATGAACCTGATCTGATCAAAGCCTTTCGCCTCACGCAGAACTGCAGTCCGGTATGCCTCCATGGTCTTATCCTTGGTCCCATATTCCCCAGTGACATACCGAATGATTAGTTGTGAATCACTATAAGCAATCAGATTCTTGATCTTCAGCTCTTTAGCCAGCTTCAGCCCAGCTATCAACGCCTCGTATTCTGCCTCGTTGTTGGTTGCGTTGAAGTCAAGTCTTATCGCTTGGCTTAGCGTGGTCCCTTCTGGTGTTCGCAATTGGATTCCAATCCCTGCCCCCATTTGATTTGAAGAGCCATCCACAAAGAGCTTCCACAAGGAGCAATTATAATCCTCCACCAAGTCTTCAACATCACATTCAAGTAGGAAATCTGCCACCATTTAACCTTTAATTGCCGTTCTGGGCTCATACGCAATATCAAATGAGCTCAATTCAATAGCCCATTTGTCATTCTTCCTGATAGGTTCGGTTTGTGTAAGATCATTCTTAAAGGGAAAGTTGTTAAGACAACAATCGAATGAGATTTAAAATAATGTCTAAGCTTCCTTTTTGCGTTGACCAACGACAAGATCATCCGTTCGGCCCTTGAGTACCTTCTTTCCGGCTTAGACATTGTTTTGCTGACATAAAACACTGAGAATTGCTTTCCATCTTTGCAACGGATCAGAACGGCACTAGTCGCTATGCTGGATACCCCAAGATACAGAAAGAGCTTCTCATTCGGCTCGGGAACAGATAGAACCGGAGGGTTGCGCATGTATTCTTTCAGTCTAGTTAGCGTCTGTCGTTGTTCATCCCCCCAGGCTTGCCTTCCATGGCCTCGAATTGTATTAAAGAAAGGTTTACAGTGGCCCGAAAGCTTGGAATTAAATCGGCTTAGCGTAGCTATTCGACCTGTGAGTGCCTGCACCTCCTTAATTGTCTTTGGCTCTGCATTTCTGATCAGGGCTTCTGCCTGCGCTGGGCTGGCCTCAATTCCTCTATGATTGACCACATGTCCCAGAAATTGACCAGAGCTTATGCCGAATGAGCATTTGGCCGGATTAAGCTTCATCCTATATTGGCGCAACACATCGAACACATCCTGCAGGTGCGCTAAGTGATCGTTCTTCTTCTTACTCTTGACCACCATATCATCAATATAAGCCTCGACAGTTCTTCCCATTTGGCTTTTAAAAATCTTGCTGATCAACCTCTGATAAGTAGCTCCAGCGTTTTTTAATCCGAACGGCATGACTTTGTAACAATAAGTCCCTCGTTCAATAACAAAGGAAGTTTTCTCTTCATCAACTGGATCTATGGGGATTTGATTATAACCGGAATAAGCATCCAGGAAGGTTAATCACTCGTATCCTGTGGTGGCATCTGGGAAACTATCCTTTGGGCAAGCTTTGTTCAGATTAGTGAAGTCGATACATACTCTCCATTTCCCATTCTTTTTCTGTACTACAACAATATTGGAGAGCCAGGTCGGGTACTGAACTTCTCTAACGAATCCTGCTTCGAGCAACCGATCAACCTCCTCAGCTATAATCTGATTTCGTTCTAGAGCATATCTTCTCTGTTTCTGTTTCACTGGTTTTGCGTTCTGATCTACATTGAGGGAATGACAGGATACAGAAGGATTTATCCCCGGCATATCTGAATGGCTCCACGCGAATACATCTACGTTACGAGTCAAGAAATCAATCAACTCTATTTTTTCTTCTTCAGTAAGTCTGGATCCCACCCTTGTTGTTCGTTCCGATTTCTTATGGTCGATCTTCACTTCATGAAGAGGTTCTGTGGTCAGAACTGGTGACTCCTCCTCCCCATCTTCGCTGGGAGGAAGTTCCTGTAATTGCTATCTTGGACTGGCATAACGGATATGATTTTTCCTTTTTCCAGCAGATTTCAAAGTCACTGAATAACATTCTTTAGCTGCGACCTGGTCCCCATGTATGTCAATCACCTTGGTCCCATCTGGACCCAAGCATCACATCACTTAATGCAAGGTTGATGGGACGCCCTGAACTTTGTGAATCCACCCTCTGCCCATCAAGAGGTTGTAAGATGGATGAATTTCCACGACCACAAAACTCTCAGTTAAAACTCGCTCAGCAGCTTGTACTGTCAATTCCACCATACCAATGGGCTCCATTCGTTTCCCATCAAATCCGAGTAACGGATTTCCTGTGGGTTTAAGTTTTTCGAGTTCGATCTCAAGTCGGTCGAACATCACCCTGGGCATGACATTCACACTACTTCCTGGATCAATCAAAACTCTTCAAACCAGGCATTCTGCAACCGTCAGACTGACAACCAATGGATCTTTATGAGGAATCTAAATGCGTAGCAGGTCTGTTCTGTCGAACTTTATCGACGTGGATGCGTTCTGCTGGTGCAAAGCATGCACACTGCTAATCTTTCTTTTCAGCTGGGCCTGGCGCAACCGCGTTCTGAGCAACTCCTCTGACTCCGTCATTTGTTCAGGTTAGCCATGAATTGCATTTATAATCCAAACAGGCTGAGAGTTGTGTTGGTTCGGCCTCTGATTCCTCTTGATTTGTTCAGCCGATCGGTTCTGCTCTTACACCGGACTTTAAACATAGCTTACAAATTCCCCCTTTGCGATTAACATCTATACCTGCCTCTTTAGGTTCCTGCATTCGTTAGTTTGATGTCCAAAATCACTATGGAAAGCACAATGTTTAGTTTGATCCCTCTGTTTAAGAGGTTGTCTGATTGGTAAAGGAGGGTGGAACTTATCTTTGTTTTCTTGGTATAGCCTTGCTAAGGTGACTTTAAGTGGAGTTACTAATTCCTCCTCTCTGAGCCTTTTCTCAGCTTTCCATGAGGTTTGATGTTGCGGCTGAGCTTGTTTTTGCCGGATCTTGGCTTTGGACTTCTCTTCCGTCGAAATAATTGACATCTTCCTTGAATTAGCTGCATCTTCCTCCTCAAGACAAACAAAACCGTCAGTTCTCTCGTTCAGCTCATCCATGGTTTTCAGCGTATTAACCACCAAGCTGGTGTGGAACGGCGTCCCCAGGTTCATTGCGAGTTTAAATGCTTAGACCGTGTGGACGGATGACACTCCATTATCATGCTTTTAACGAGGTTCATCTTCATGCTGCTTCATTGTGAAAAGGCTTGATACATCATTAGTTGGACGTTTATTCCCGTAGTACTGGCTTATGAACTTATCGCACAAGTCCTGAAAACTAGTGATTGTGCCCTGAGCCAGATTCTTGAACCAATTGAGAGCTGGTCCAGCCAAGCTCGTAGGGAAACATTTGCACATCAAAGGATCATTGTTAGTATTCAGAGCCATTTTCAACTGCATGTGGTAGATGTGATCGACCGGATCAGTTGTTCCATCAAACAGAATGAAAACCGGCATGGAGAACTTCTTCGGATTCGGCGCGTTCAAAATTTCATCAGTGAATGGAAATGCAACCGTCATTGTTGATGAGCGGAATGCTTCGTTTTCTCTTGAAAATCATGACGGAAGCCCCCGATCGGCGGATCTCCTTTCTGAACTGTGGTAATCAAATGTTGCTATTGAAGGTCGGTAGGGTGGATCGAACGACCTGTCCTCCGCAAACTCACTTCGCCACGGTGACGCAACCCTATGTTCATACGCCGGTGCTTCCTCCCTCATGATTCGTTCGCGATGTGGTTCTTGATGAATAGATCCTTCTCGATCCTCTACTCGACGAACATTCGGAGGCAGATCGCTGATTATAACTTCATCACGACGTGGATCAACACGAATGACACTTTCTGGATCACCTTAACAATCAGCTTGGGACGGTAAGGCTCCCTTTCCTTCAGGAGGTGGCCTCGGAATTGCAGGAGCCTCATGACGCTCCATTCCAGCTCGTAGCTCTACATTTTCTTTCCTTAAAGCATCGATCATGTTCATCAGCTCATCGAGCTTCGTCTGCTGGCCGTTCTCCAAAGGATTTGAGTTCGCCTCTCCGATCATCATTCCAGATCGGAACAAAGTCATCAACTGCAGATTTCTTGACCAGATCGGAGTTCCGCTAACGCACACGCACCAGATCTGAACTCACACTTGCTGAATTCTGTCCGCTACCGGCCGGATTCAGTAATCACAACAGATCGCAATTGTGCAGTTTGCCAGATTAATTACAGATCTGATCTGCGTGGATCGGATGCCAACTTCTCGAAATCAACCGGAGCCTGAACTCATCGAGACAAATCGTATTATCACCAATGTTGATTCAGCTTTCGTAGATTAATCGTCTTCCTTGCATAGTGCTTTGAATCGAATCGATCTGGAACAACATCAATCAATCCTTTTTGTTCTTCCCACAGACGGCGCCAATTGAAAGTACAAAGAATTTCCCCCAATTGCAGAGAGAGAAATTTTACACTCCCAATAATTTCTAACCACTTTTCCCTCTCAATTACAACCTCCTCTGACCTGGGCCTTACTTCTTCTCTTTCACCTGGACTCAATTTCTCTCATCTTAATACGGGCTTTCGCAATAACTTCAAAGATTTGGACCATCCAACGTGGACTTGCTCCATCCTGGCTATCCATGCCCGACCCGTTCTTAACAGTACGAATCCTACCAAGCCCGGGTCACTTTGGTGTCCTCAGTAGTGATTCTGAATATATATATATATATATATATATATATATATATATATATATATATGATAAGATTGGAAATTTGAGAAAAAGATGAGAAATTTTAAGGAAATTTGTTAACTAATTACTTTTCTCAGATCCATTTTTAAGTTACCAAAATTCTAGTTCTACAAACCTATATCTCATTTTAAAATGATACGAAATACAAAAAAATTTCCGTTCAAATTTAATTTATTTCAATTTAAAAAATTAAATTCTATTTTAATTACAACCCAATTTCAAAAAAAATTGATTGCAAAGAAAGTTTTATTTATTTATTTTTTTTTGGAAAAGGTAAACGACAAAGCTATTGCTATTACAAAAGTTAGAAAATAGACACCCTTTAGTAGCTATGTTCCAAATCCCATGATGATGGTTGAAGGCTGTGGGTAGAACGCAACGTCCAACAAGAACCACACCGAAACAACTCCTCCACTGAAAAGACAGGAGGCCACTACACCTGACGGCTCTGTTAACTCAAAGAAACCCATTGTAATCCATGACAAAGCTTCTGGTAAGTATTTCTGGCCAATTAATTTACTCCATCACCGGTAATATTATTCGTCACAACAAGACTAAACTAAGAATGATGTACGTCTTTCTTGTATTCCTCATTCATTCTTTGTACAGAACTTGGGAATTCAAGCAGCCAAGGTACAAATATTGATGAGAATAAGGCGATGAGGCACAAATCATTGTTTAAGTGGCCTACAACAAATCAAATTCAGAGTGAGTTTAAGAATAATATAGAGGAAAGTGTTTGGGACCGCCTAACGGAACTCACCAAGGATGATTTAAGCATAGAACATGGCTTAGAGATGGTTGATTCAGTGTATCTCCTAAATCTATTCAATACTTCAGATCCTGAGTTTGAAAGTTTTATCCAGACTGCTGGTGCTGGAGAAAAGCGGATGCGTGGAGGTTTGAAGCTGGTTGAAGAAGGGTATCACATGATCAAATCTGCGGTATCACTAAAGCGGGGCAGCTGGGTTAAACCTGAGTGATCAATTCTAGATTTCCTCAATCTAACAATTGTACCCAGCTTCCAATTTATATTTAATGTGGTATTGTTTCTGAAGGTGTTTAACAAATTAAATAAGTACTACTGGAAATATTATTGCACGGCGAAATCTTGATTGTTCAATATTTAAGGATATCAAGAGGTTATTAGGTTTGAGATTTGTAAAATTTTGTTTCGCGTTGCAATTTTAATTTTGACTCAAAGAAAATGCTTAATTTGGCTTGTGTTAGGAGAGAACGGTATACATGTGCAGCATAGGACCGTGTGATGGCCTCAACCCCAAATATATATGTGTGTGTTTGTAGAATTAAAAAGAATTAATTATACATAAACCAAACCACCACAGCACTGTGTCTGGACCATAAGGCAAGAGGGTTTGCAATTCACCATGTCATTTCGTAGAATTTTGAGGAAGTTCATGATGTTCTCAACTAATCAAAAACTCAACAGAACTTTCTATTTGAGATCAACTACATAGGATCATGTTTGGCTAGACCATTACTTCGCTTAAAATACAAGCTACTATATGGAATCATGTTTTACAACATCTCTTAATACATCTCAATTTTGAATTGCTCAAGCAGAAATCATAATTAACAAACATCAGATATAAATTGACTTATATAACTGGTCATGATCAGGATTGTTTGTATGCTTTTCAGTCATATGTAACTGTTATTGCTCATATAATCAAGAAAATTGCGTTACTCAAGCAGAAATCTTTGTTGCATGCATACACATCAACAGATCCTTTATTTTGGATGGTGATACGAAAACATGGAGTAGTAGGTCTGCAAAAACGTGAGGGCAAAAAGGATAATAGCGGCAGCAACTGATATGCCAGTCCATGGATTGCCAAAATAATCTTGTTTCAATTTTCCTACTGATACTCGCCAGGGCGTGCAGAATTCAGTGACCAGTTTGTACCGCACACCATAGTAGAATTCATATGTACGCGGAGTAGCATTCTTGCAAATATTGTTGAAGAGTTGCGAGACAGCTTCACTGGAACCCAAATGATTGCATATGATTCCTGCTTCCTCGAGCAATTCAACATCCTTTGAGGAGTCAATGAGGATGAACATGAGGAAAGCATGGGACGTGAAGTAATTATAAACCCAAGGGCAGCATTGCTCGAAAGCAATGAGGTTTCTCAACAATGGCTCGGTGGATTGGTAAATCGAGAAAGGTGTGATTTCAAGATGACCTCTTTTGAACAAACGATGACAAGTAGTACTATCAGTAGTAAATTTCATGTCGAACAAGTTTCCTGTTTTATGTCTCTGCAATTTGACTCCTGCCATTTTGAGTTTTGTTGCAGAATATTCGAATGCAGGTCTCTCTTTGCAATTGCTTGCCCATTCCTCCTGTGTGCTAATAGTATAACCAGGCACGTATAGAATATGTAAAAGATGGAGAATGTGATATGGATTCAAGTAATCCTTACTTCCCAAGTCACCATTTTCTGGACCTATCATATCGCCTAAGAATGAAAGGACACATCCAATGAGGTCAGGGGAGGTTTGGTTCCCACTACCCGGCATACATGGCACTGTCAGGTCGAACAATTTTTGAACAACACCGAAAGGAATCTGGTTCTCGAGTAATAACAAGTCATGTTGGACCGCGTAGTACTTGGCTGGGCTCCATAAAATGGGGTCTTGTTGCTGTAGGTAATTCCTGTATAAAAGTTCAATTATGAAGCAACCATCAATCAGCATCATTTCTGCAAGTCTGACATTGTCATCCGGTATGACTGCTATTGCTTTTGCATAGCATTCCCGCACAATGGGTGCCATCTCTAGCATAGCTTCTACGCAAATTTTCCGTGTTTGGTCGGATTGAGTTCGCTCAAATAGGCAGCACATGTAGCTCAATTTGTCCTCCTGCATTGCCTGCAGACGTTCCTTCCCTCTGTGAAGAGGACCAATAGACACCATGCGCGGTGTATAAGCATCTTCATTTTGTTCACGAAGCACAGTGGGCACCTTGTACATGCCAGACACATACGGCCCCATCGTGCTGAAATCCTTGAGAGCCTTTAAATTATCTTTGTTTCCTTCAATCCTTATCTCTAGGGAACTCAAAAGCTCTCCACTTGCCATATCAACCATCTCTACCTTATTGGCTTTGTGTTTGTGTTGATGTCAGGACTTTTGGGTTTGCACTCTCTGTTGAAATTTATATAGCAAACATTATTTTGTAAGGAGATAGTTGTGAAATTTGTGACAAAATTAAATTCGAAAATAGAAAATGGTAAAAAATTAAAGATGGCATTACCTACAAGAGAGCATTTGAAAAGATGATTGGGAATGGCCTAGTTGGCCAGTTAAATAAAACCCGGTCAATTGATCCAGTTGAACTCTTAATTCAAATAGTAGGAAGGCAGGTACCGACCTTGTTGCCAGAAAGAAAAACTAGACCATGAAAGAAAAATGGCCCAATTAATAAAATGTCAAAGATATGAAGTCTGAAAATATGAGATAAACTAAAGAAAGGCACTCATTTGGTGCTCCTAAATGAGTATAATTGAGTGATCACGTCATATCACCTATGGGTTCTGTTCACATTTAATTCATACAAGCAAAATAAAAAATACAATAACAAATCAATAGAAAATGTAAAATTATGTTGGGTAGTGTTTTAACCGTACCCGTCTATATGTGTCAAAGTCCTTCCCTAAGATCCCATGTGAGATAATTAAGATTCTCTAACATTCTCTTCTATCCAAATTCGTAATGTCATTATTGCAATCGGACCATCCTACCTATCTATTCTCCTAATGATGATGGGAAGATCGATCTCGACTCGGATCAGCACTTGGCATAACATCGAATTAAGAATTAAATTTGATTCTAATATCATTTGTAACGTGTTAGGCACTTTCTTTTTAACCCAAAAACTGAAGATATTCGATATTTTACCCACCTGAGACATGACTCTTCCAACGCTAGATCACTAAGCATTTTTTTTTGTTAACAATACAAATATTCATGGCTTAATAAGAATGAACTTGGAAGTCATTTAGGCTTGTTGGCTACAGAGTGCTGTGGAGGTTAAGGCTTTGGTTGTTAATTTGGATGAGAATCTTCACTGGTCTTTTGGTTTGAGCGTGGGCTCGTTTGAAGAAGGGTAGCCGATCTATGGCTTCAAATGGTTGATTTAGGGTTTACAAGACTTGCACACAACCGACAGAGTTTTTAATGTAAATATATATGGAAAACCATAAAGAAGACGAAAACATATATATATATATAGCAAATTCAGACGTGCTCTTAAAATTAATTACCAGAATAAGACAGAATACAAGAATAAGAGAGGTAATCAATTAAGAAATAATTGACAAATTAAGAAAGCGTGGCGTAGAAGCGGGATAAAAAAATGATAATGGCAGAAATCGGTCACCTGCTTGCACCGGACAGTACTTGAGAAGATTCAAAGAGGATGATGAATGTGAGGACTTTTTTTGGGGGTTGCCAATTTGGACACCACGCCATTCAAAGTAGTGTCCATGCTTTTTGAAGGCACGTCATGCTTGGGTCAATTCAAAAGTATGACAATACAACAAATACAAAATACAATTTAAATATTTCAAGTAGACCAAAAATATGGATTGATTCATAATTTGCACCTCATAATTTCATCGGCCTTTGCTTACTGGTTGCAGTTCTTCAGTCATGACTGGCTGCCAATTAGGATTAGAAAGATTCTACTTTTCCCCGTGGTGGAGACGGTGACGACGTGGAGGTAGTTCTTGTCCTCGTTGATTTGGAGAATGTTAGGGCTTGCGCTCAGGAGCTGCAAAATATTCGGTTCCTTTTCGAGGCAATCGCGATCGGTCTGATTGGAGAGTTCGCCTTTTTTTGATTGATTTGCAGACGAATGATTCGCCAGAGACCGGAGAGAAGGAGCTGTAGACGACACCAAGACTTACATGTCCGCAACAAGAATCACAGTTGTACCCACATTCAGGAAGTGAACCATTGAACGAAAAAAAAAAAAAAAAAGAGTGATGAAATTGGGTTTGGAACTTTGGATGGTGATGAATTGGATCAGTCAAAGTAAATAAGGAATTATGGATTGCATAAATAACATGCCTTTTTCCTCAATGCGGACGTCTACCATGCCAAGCGTCTCCCTCCTCTCCTCTATTCCTCCCTCTGTATATCGTACACTTTTCTGAAATCTTTATTTTCTAATTTTTTTTTGTTTTTGTTTTTTGTCAAGAAATTGATGAGGGTGGTGGAGGTGCCTTGTGTTGACCAATCTCATTAGTTGCTGTAATAAGGTGGGATAGTTGTCAAAATTTTAGTGGCTCTTTTATTACACTGGTCTCACATTATTTAGTCAATTTTATAATAATACCTCAATATTAAATAGTAACCTTTTATGCAAAGGGTAAAAAGTTTTTACCAATTTCTGATGATGAAAGTGGACCGAAAATACCTTTTATGTACTAAAACTTAACCAATTGTATAGTTGCAGGGGATTACTTGTAGTTAAAAGGGTTAAGTTGCACTTGGGACATAGTTAAGTGGGTTTTATTGCCAGTTTATCCTTTTTATATGAATATTACTTTTGTTTATTGGTCACCAGATCATAAAATAATTTCTTTATTTTTGTAATTTGTGTGGGTACACAAAGGGCTTTTATTGGGCCATGGCCTTCCCAAAATCAGGGGGAAAAAAAAAAATCCCTAATATGTAGTTTTTCGGGAGGTAAATGAACAAGCAAACAAGAACGAACTGGACCCAGAACAATACAAATGGAAAAACGGGCATAGGCCCGAATGAGAAAAGGCCTTAGTTACAGGCCCACGAGAATACATATAAAAACCCTAAAACAAAAGATCCCAAAAAAACACCTAAGAAGCACTCACTGCCAGAAGCAGCCCAAAAGGCTCAACTTTGAAAAGCCGTTGCCGTAACGATCCAATAAAATAAAATAAAGAGTGTTGTCAACCAGAGTAGCAGACTTCATAACGCCCGACTAGGCATGAACAGAATCGGTGAACTTTGGAGCTGATTCACCGGAGCTATGAGTCGTCTTAGGCTGTGGCGGGGTGGTTGAAAAGTGATAAGTTTGGCCGCAATATTTTTAACCATAGCAGAGTCAGATTCCATGGAATGTACCTGCAAAACAAAACCAGTATAAAAACAGAGTTGGAAATGGATTTGGGCTTTGGTACTGTATGTAGAATTCGTTTCAAAGTATGAAAAATATTTGATCTATGCCCCTTCAAAATCTACAAATAAACCTTTATTTTTTACTGTTTTTCACCACTTCTTTTATCTCCCTATTTTGTTTTCATATACCTTCGTTTTGGAGGCTCAAATTTTGAGAGAAAGGTCAAAAACAACTTAAACATAACCAATACTTCAATTTATCTTCGCATTCTCAAGGGATTATAAAGTACTTTGGTTTTATATATAATCTCTTAAATATGCTTTTTAATTGAGAATATATATATATATATATATATATATACACTGAGAGTTATATCTTAAAAATAATATTAATAATTACAGCATTGTAAATTTGGCAACTGTATGATACATAAGACACTATGATATTTTTTAGCCACCCTGCCTTTGCATAATATGTGTGATTTTAAGTTGCATTTCTCTATTTGGGATTTTTGTTCACTTTTTACAGTATAAAATCATGTGAACCTTTTTTTTTTTTTTTTTGGAATTATATATGTGAAGGTATACAAGAACTACAATGAATATATATCAGATATGTGTGAGGAAAAAATGGACCAACTTCAAGTCCTCATGCTTCCTTCCTTGGCAAAATTTAATGCCGTATTCCATTAATATTGAAACCAAAGTCTTGATCAGTAAATCTTCTCCTCATTCTTCTTTTCAACTGGTTTTTCTTCTATATAAGTTAAATATGGTGCTTCGTTTGATTTTGTGATGGTTTAGTGAGGGTTTCTTAGAGACCAGATGGAAGTAAAATCTATATATTTGTGATGTTCCATCTATTAGATCATCTACAAATTTCATTCTTCTTCCAATTTTGTTCTAAAAGGTAAATATCAAATATGAAAAGACGTAACAATAATTTCATCATTGTTTATCAATATATATATATGCCTCCACCAAGTTTTGAATCTTCAATAATGTGTGTTTGCTTGAATTTCGAAAAAAAAAAAAAAAAAAAAAAAAAAAAATATTTACTTGATCCATGCTATCTCTGAATTCACCAATAATTATTTTTATTACTATTTTTTTAAAATTTTTAATCACATGACCTGTTGTGAGCACTAGTGTTGTACCTGGTGCAAGTATTTTATAAATAGGAAGATTATTTCAAAGCCAAAATTTTAATTTATTGTAACTTTCGAAAAATAATAATAATTTATTAATTAAAGTCTAAAAGCTGATCGAAGCTCTTCAATTCGTTGTTGGTCGGCCTCTTCTCCAATATGATGAAATGGGACATGCGTAGTTTTTTTTTATCTCCTTAAAGACGAAAACTAAACATTGTTTTCATTGGAGTCTAGCTCGTTCTTTATTACAACCCAATTTTAGCATTTTCTTGTAACGGCTTGGGGAACAATTGCTTGATTCGGACAGGTAACATCCATTATTTGTTTCTTTCTCAAACAACACATGTATTATATATATATATATAAAAATATCCATTAATTAATGAACCATAAAAGATAAAACAAACAAACAACAACCCAACATGAAAGAAACAAATAATGTCACTGTCTTCTGTGAGTCGTACGCAGCGGAATGTATATAGGAAAGTTTTTGTTTGTTTTATACAACAGATCTGTGTCCTGATCTACTTTACTTATTTTATATTTTAGCAATTAAACAGATAATCACATGCAGATAAAATAAAGCAAAATATAAAGTTAGAGATGACACCAGAATTTTAGCGAGGAAACCCCAATTGATAAAATACGTCAACTGTAATGGGAAAAACCTCGTGAACTTGTTCAGTCCAAGGTAAACCAATCCACTTTGCTTGAAACAAAGTATACCAAACTTTGACTCTGGCTCACACCCTATCGTTCTACACCACACCAACCGCTGACGATCCTCTGGCTTTGCGACTTCCCGTCCAACATCAACTTGATCTCAGGCTTACACTTGATATTTGTAGAAGAGTAGCAAGTAGATCAGAAAACACTCCACGAATGCTCCAACCCTTTCAAAGTGTGATTGCGTTTACTTCTGTTCTTCAATCGTCTGAATGATGTAGAAGAAGATTTGTTTCGTCTGATCAATGTTAATATGACTGTGTGATCACGATCAGGATTCGAACACCACAACTCTAAACTATGTTTATGTGTATGTGTTCTAGAAAGATATCAGAAAAATCAACTCTGATTTTCTGCACAAATAATCTTCCTAAGGCTTTGAATAATATCTGAATTATAATGTAAAAACCGTGAATAAACCAATGTATATGACATGGTTTATATAGATTATAGAATGACCTACTCCCTCTAAAAATTAGATAAATTTCGTGCATAGGATTTGGTACAATTTTAGACCAATTGGGAAATAAATTAGAATAAGGAAACTGCAATTGTATTGCAAACAGGACATCTTGAACTGGTTCAAGAAAGCTGAACCGGTTCAAGTTTGGCAGTGAATCAAACTTGAACATCTTGAACCGATTCAAGGAAGCTAAACCGGTTCAAAGTTGGCAGACTTGGATTTCGAATTCCTTCAGCCTTGGTTCATTCTACGAAAATTGTAGACTAACATGGAAAGTGTAGAATGTCCAACCTTGTTCATATTCCTTCCTAATGTAGTGTCCTTACCATTTTCATCACAAACTCTTCAAGTATGGTAAATTTGAACTCCTTCGCAGTTGTGTAATTCCTGTTGAACTCGATGACTTGTAGGACAAGGAATTTAAATTACAACTCAACTTGGACTTGTTATGTCTACGATAATTGTCAAGAAATAAAAAAAATATATATCTCATAATCTCCCCCTTTGGCAATTTCGTGACAAAACCCTAAAAACAATATGATAGTGAAATAAAACCATTGATGAGCTTTGATGTAGTTCACTAGAGCTTGTCCCGCAGTGTCTTGAAGCTTTTGTAGATTAACATTTCTCTCTGTTTTGATTGGCCCATCCTTGTAAACAGAGTTATACACTTTCCAACCCTCTTCATTATAAAAATGTGATGCTGTAAATTCAATCCTTCCAGTGCTAGAAACTGAAGGATATCGAATAGGAGCCATGCTTGGAGCTTGAGAACCACTTTGGGATTCTTGAATAGAAATGCCGGTTCTAGACCTCTTTGGTGGTCTAGATGACTCAATTCCTTTTCCTTTAGCTTCTCTAGACAATTTAGGAGGCATGTTGTTTACAAAAATTCTCACTTTGAAGCTTATAACTCTTTCAGGAATTTTATCAAACACTTAGTGTGCAATCCCAAAAGTGTTTATAGAAAACCTTGTTTTGATCTTCAAATCACCCCAAAATCAATCAATACAATGCAAATATACTTTCCCCAAGTATAATCAAGCTTCAATCTCTTCAACCAACGCAAAAGATTAACCAATCCTCTAAGTTCTAATCCCAAACTCCATAAAACTCATCCAAGCCCATTTGTCAACTTTCAACCCTCACAATCTTCAAT